TTCTGTTGGTTAGGAACGGGATTTTCCAACAGAAACTGTTAAGTTTGGTCCTGAACGCATGTATATTGATTGCTGGGTCAAAAAACATACCTACGACACCTTTAAGGAGGTTCTCGGATCGGGGATGCAGTATCACTTACAGGTGAGTGGGCACCTTTTCTGTTTGTTTGCTTCTAAATTAGGGAGCAGATTTGAGTGGAGCTCACTTACCTGGCTTTTGAAGTTAATGGAGTATACAGAATGCTTTCAGCATGATACAGTTTTTTTTTTAAAGTGAAATTAAATAATGCCACTCCTGCTTGGGTTTTGTATTTCTTAAGTCTGGTGGAACACTGTTGATATCTTTGTATGAAAACAAATAGTTGACATGGCTTCCTTGGATGCAAGGCACTGGAAAACAATTGGGTCTCATAATGAGAAACAGAAAGAAAAGAAACGACCCAAGTTCATAAATCTAAGCTCCACAGATCTTCTGTTAACCAGTGTCACTTTGTGTAGTGCAGAGGAGCTGCTGTTTAATACTGAGCCTTACCACTGTTTTCTTTTACCAAAGTCAAATGAATTCCTTCGCAATGTGTTTGAACTTGGACCCCCAGTGATGCTTGATGCTGCAACACTTAAAACAATGAAGATTTCTCGTTTTGAAAGGGTGAGTTTTATTTTTGTTTTCAACAGACCTAAATGCATCAAAGAGAAGCAGAGCCCAAGCTTTGATTCTGCCGGGGTTTTAGTTCCTGGAGATTTAGACACAAGAGCTGTGGTAAACGTGTAAGAGCTTACTGCATTTAGGGTGTGGGGGTTCAACACAGACTATTTACCCATAATCTAATTATCTTAGCACAGACATATTTTCATTTTTTGTTTTCTTTTATTGTATGATTTTATATTTAAGAATAAATATTTACGCAGTGCTGCTTTGGTACCAGATAACCAAGTACCCAACTCATTTTACACATGAGGAAACTGAAGGGCTCAGACAGTGTGTGTCATTAAATAGTGATTAATATCATCTTACTAACATGTCAAAATTCCTTGGTTATATGATTTTTTTGTTATTGAGGTAAAATTCTCAGAAAATAGACTTGGAAAGTGTACAGTTCAGTGGCGTTTTATACATTCA